TGAAATTTGCGCCCTGGCCAGTTTGGCTCAGTGGTTAGAGCGTCAGCCTGCGGTCTGGAGAGACCCGGGTTCGGTTCCCACTAAGGGCACATACTTCGGTTGCAGTTTGTCCCCAGCCCTGGTTGGTCGTGTGGGTGGCAGCCACTCGATGTGTCCCTTCACGTCGATGTTTCTCTCTCTTCCTTCCTCTCTCTCCCTCCCACTCTATCTGTACAAAAAATGGAAAAAATATCCTCGGGTGAGGATTAAAAAAAAAAAAAAAGATTGAAATTTGCAAATTAAATCATCTGAAAAGTAAACAGAGTTTACCTAAAATCTACAGTGAACATCCGTTCTTAGAAATTTATTTGTGGTAAACCAAAATTAAAAGAAAATTCATTTTGACTGATCATTAACTTACAGAACTTATTAGTAGGGCTAATAAGTAGTCTAGGTAGACTATGACTTCCAGTAATAGAGTCATAAATAGTTAATCATGAAATCAGGTTATAAATAACTTTTCCAGAAACCACAAAGAAGGATAGTCCTGGACATGCACAGCTTGTTTCTTAGGTCTTTTATGGACCACAAATTACTGCCTAGAACCATGAATCTGTATTGTATTCCTATGTTCCTGTTACTGGAAGTTCAAAGCAAAACTGGTATTAAAAACACTGGATTCTTAGATTATAAAGTGGAGTCCAGGTAGCTAGAAGAGATAAACATGAACAAGTTGCAAGTTGTAGAACTGAAGCTTATGACTAATCTAATGAAATGCTAAGACTCTATCATTTTAAATGAATAAATTGGTAATGTGGCATAATTATTTTTAGGGCTGGAAACAGTTAATGCATGAAATGTTCCAGAAGCAGCACAAAATTTCTAAAAATTTGAAATACTCCAACAGGTTTTTAAGCAGATTTCTAAAAGATAAGGAAAGGCAAATGTAACTTGATTGAGGTGATAAACTATTACTTATGTATTTCATCACATGAGTTAAAATAGAGAACACTATTTATTGTAAAATATATATTATAAATTAGTTTATATATTAATCTATGAATACTATAAGCTTAATATTCTTTTTTTTAGAGTACATTAAGATTTTCCTTTTTTTTTAATATGTTGTATTGATTTTTTGAAAGAGAGAGGAAGGGAGGGAGAGAGAGAAATATCAATGTGAGAGAGAAACATCAATTGGCTGCTTCCTGCATGCCCCCTGCCAGGGATCAAGCCTGCAACCAGAGCATGTGCCCTGACTGGGAATTGAACCAGGACCTCTCAGTCCATGGGACAAGGCTCGATCCACTGAGCCACACTGGCCATACAAGTTTTTCCTTTAAAAATTTTATTTATTTGAGAGAGAGAGAGACAAACAATAGTTTGTTGTTCTACTTATTTTTGCATTCATTTGTTGATTCTTGTTTGTGCCCTGACCAGGCATTGAACCCACAACTTTGGTGTATCTGGATAATGCTTACCAACTGAGACACCCAGCCAGGGCTAATCTTACTATTCTTAAGGGAAGAAATGTGAAAAATGTGTAGATTAAACTAGTCAATAGGACATAAATTATTTAGCTGTATGAAAGAGTGGTATATTACATCTTCTGAAAACTTCCTAGATTAAAAAAATATTGTTAATTTTCAAATTGACATTTTACCACATTGAATTAACTCCAACTTAAATATATTATTTTTAGATATTTAGGATAATGGGGGAGAGGTTATATAGTATGGCTTTCCCCAGATAAAGAATTACTCTCACTTACAAACTTTCCCCAGATAAAGAATTAGCTCAATTATAGATCATTACAGGAACACAGTATGACTTTAAAATCCATTAAATTGAGAAGTTGTCTAGAGCAGTGTTTCCTAGGCTTCAATGTACATATGAGTCATATACAGATCTTGATAAATGCGGATTCTTATTCACTAGGTCTGGGGCAGTACCTGTAGTTGTAACAAGTTCCCAGGTGATACTGATACTGTCTTTCTGAGTGAATATCAAGTAGAGTAACCTATGACTATCTGAATTTTTTTTTTTTTTTAAATCCTCACCCGAGGATATTTTTCCATTTTTTGGACAGATAGAGTGGGAGGGAGAGAGAGGAAGGGGGAGAGAGAGAGAAACATCAACATGAAGGGACACATCGAGTGGCTGCCACCTGCACGACCAACCAGGGCTGGGTACAAACTGCAACCGAAGTACGTGCCCTTAGCGGGAACCGAACCCGGGTCTCTCCTAACTGCAGGCCGACGCTCTAACCACTGAGCCAAACTGGCCAGGGCGACTATCTGAATATTTTTAAAGTAATCTTCTGTCTCAGCAAGTCCATCATTTCTAGTTGCTCAGATCAGAATACTTCAAAATTATCCTGGACTCTTGCTCTCTAACACATATCCCACACTTGATCTTATCAGGAAATCTTTATGGCTGTAGTTTGAAAACACAGCTGGAATCTCAGTACTTTTCATCACCCTTGCTACTGGTATAAAAGCCATTGTCATGTCCCCTCTGGATTATTGCAGTAATCTCTTTGCTGGCCTCTACTTTTCCCTTTGCCACTTCTGCTTAAAATCTTCTACAGGCCTGTCTCATTCAAAGAAACAAGTGTATTTACCTTAGTCTTTAAGGTGTTGCATGATTTTAAATTCTATTACCTCTCTATCATCTACTTTTCCTCTCTTTCACTCTATTCTAACTACATTAAATTCTTTTTGTTTCTTGTTCCTCTACTCTGCCTTTGGACTTTCATATTGGCTGTTATTTTGCCTAGAATACAGTTCCTCTAGATACCCACATAATTCTCCCTTGCTTCTTTCAGATAGTTAATTCACGTGTCACTTTATCAGAAAGGCTTTTTTCTAAGCACTGTGTAAAATAACAGCTTCTCCACTTTCTCACTTCTTAACCATGCTAATTGTATGGCTTTTAAAAATAATTGTGTTGTTTTATTTTTCTCCACAGCACTTCTCAACATTTAACACACCAGATATTTTACTTTGTTTATTTTATCTCCCCCACTAGAATATAAAGGCAGGAATTTCTATCTTAATCAGTTATGTACTTAGGGCATTGCCTAATAGTATCTCTCTAGCACTCAATAAAGTCTTTGAATTTAAAAAAAATCTCACAATATGTCATTAAGCCTCTTTTTTAAAACCTTCATTGATAGATTATTCTACCTTCCTTCGGAACAGCCTACTCCATTTTAAGATAACTGCTAACCTTCTCCCTAATCTTTAGGTTCTTTCAGGCTAAACATTCTTACTGCCTTACCTTTCTGCATATGATAAGGTTTCCAAGACTGTCACTAATTTAGACATCTTTCCTGGACATTCATTATTTTGTCTCTAAAGAACAGTAGTAGCACTAAAACAGATGTTGCACATGTAGGCTGAGTGCAACATCTTGTTTTTGACGTTCTGCTTTTATTAAGGGTAGGCTGTGATTGAATTGACTCTTTTTAAGTAACTCTAATCCTGACTCATTTCGAATTTTTAGTCCATTAAAACCTTTAAATTATTCCTATATATGCTACTAATTTTTTTATCTTCTACTTTACAGTTGGTTTTTGAATCAAAGTCAGGCCTTTGCATTTTTTCTTATTTAAGCTAATAGAGAATTTTCCTGACCAGTAGATTTCTTTAAGGTAGAAACTAGCATGTGTAAATTATTTAGGAAACTAATTTAAAAAAATACTTAATATACTTATGGGAGAATAACGGATGAAATTGGTGATTTCTTGTGCCTAAATAATCCAAAAGGTATTTGAATAGTTCATTGCAATCATGTCTTGCTTCAATTTGAGAAAGAATTCTAAGAGTTGATTTAAAAAACAATTTGACCTCAAGCATTTGTTCCCCGTGACTGACCAATTAATTCCCGTTTCCATGTTTCTTACTTACCTCTTTTCACCTTTATTGAAAAATGAAAATTTCTAGTTCTCTAGGCCAGAATAATCTTTGATTCCTTCTCCTTATTTATTTAGTCATCAAATCTCAGAAATTCTTCAGCTCTTTAATTTCTTGCTTTTCTGTTCACTTTACAGACAGTTATCCTACTATGTAAATCTTGGGCTTCTAATATCTTCCCAACTATAATTCATTCTGTGTTTTGCTGGCAGATCATTCTTTTAAAAGAATCATTTATATCACTTTTATCATGTCAGTCTTCTTCAGGGGGATCTATAAGATTGAATTTAAACTTCTCAGTCAACCATTAGAGATACCTCTATAATCTAACCCTACTTGATTTACATTGCTCTGCTGATTGCTTTTGTTACCCCTCATTGTAATCTTTCGGATGAACTTCTTGGCATACATGCTGATCCTTCCTCAGTTGGTTCTCTCTCTCTCCCATTTGCACTCACTCTTGTTCTTGTCAGATTGGTCTAGCTAAATGCTGTTTTTTCTTTTATACTATGTTGCTCCTTTGTTGCCTTGAGCTCAACATATATAATCTGTCACCTTCATTGAAAAATTTAGTCCATCCCTGACCAGTTTTGCTCAGTGGTTAGAGCGTCGGCCCTGGACCAAAGAGTCTCGGGCTCCATTTTGGTCAAGGGCATGTACCTCGGTTGCGGTTAGATCACCGATCCTGGTTGGATCTTGCAAAAGGCAACCATTTGATGTGTCTCTCTTACATGGATGTTTCTCTCTCTCTCCCTCTCTTCCTCCACTCTATCTGAAAATCAATGGAAAAATATCTTTGGATGAGGATTAAAGAAAAATCTAGTCCAAATTGATCTTTTTTTCTTAAGCTCCAATTGTATTTATGTCTGACCACACAATTATCATTTAATCTTTGTTGCTTAATACTTATATAAGGCTTTTCCTTTCAGTAAGACTGTGTGCTTGATGGCAAGGAGTATAAAAGTGTACTGGATTATCCACAAAATTTATGGGCTTGTACTGTGTTCTTTTACGTGTAAAATAATTTCTTACAGTTTTGAGTCTCTTTTAATATTATTGGCAAAGGGCATACGTTAAAGACCTCTATTATAATTCATCCTATAGGAAACCCCTTTTCAAGGAGAAATGAAGAAGAAAACTCTCTATACCCTAAATGTGGGAGATCAGGAGTATGAAGATATGGAAGGTAACTTTTCATATATTTATAAAGCTTGTATGTTGAAAGCAAAACTTAGTGTTTTCGAACTGTTCATTTGTAAATATTTCAAAATACACAAGGAGTTTTTCGTTTACTTATTTTTGTTCTTAAATTCTGAAATAAGCTGCCTAAATAAGAAGTGTGCAATTTTTTCCCTCCTCCCATGTCTCATTTTCTGTTGATCAAGGTTTTTTATTTCATGAGCTTTTTTCTTTTTTTTGATCCTCACCTGAAGACTTTTTTTGCATTTATCTTCAGATAGAGTGGGAGGGAGAGAGTGAGGAAGAGAGAGAGAGAGAAACATCAATGTGAGAGAGACATACTGAGTGGCTGCCACCCACACAACCCCAACTAGGGCTGGGGACAATCTGCAACTGAGGTACGTTGCCCTTAGCGGGAACTGAACCTGGGACTCTGGTCTGTGGGCTGACACTCTAACTCCTGAACCAAACCAGCCAGGGCCATGAGCTTGTTTCTTTTTAAATTTTGGCTTCCTACTTTCTCTATTTATGTTGTATTTTGTTTTGTTTTAAAAATAGCATTGATATTTTTCTCTGTTTCTAAAGTTAGTATTTTAATCTTCACTGTCAACAGAAGAACCTTAGAAGCACTTATACTCTGACCATCCTACTGTACATTTGTAAGTTATAGTCATCCATCATTTTGGTGTGACCCCACCCCCACCCCCCCGAACACCACAAATTAAGTGATATTTGGTACAGGTAGTATTTAAGAGGGTTGTTTTTTTCTATTACTTTTCTTCTGAAAAAAAATCTTAAGTTCCTTTACTGGAAAGTCTAATGGTGATAAACTCTTAAGTTTTTGTATTTATTTTCTTCTCTTCAGAACTATTCAAAGATAGATACACAGTTCTGGATTGATAGTTTTTTCACCCCCTCCTATCACTTATTTAGGCTTTTTTTTTTTTTTTTTCTTGCTGTCAAGAAATCTCTTTTCAGCCTTGTCATTTTTTTTCTTTTTTAGATAAACCTGTCTTTTTTCTCTTTAGCTTTTAATATTGTTTTCATCTTTAATGTTGTACTGTGTTGCTGCATTGTTTCTAGGCACAGATTATTTTCATTTTTCCTGTTTAGCATACCTTGTGTATCTTTTATCTGTTGGATTTTGTGGGTTTTGTTTGTTTATTTTATCATTTCTCAGTCATTACTGCTTTAACCATTGCTTGTCCTTTATTCTTTTCTTCTAGACTTCAATTAGTATGTTAGACTGCGGTCTGACTTCATTTCCTAACCTCTCTTTCACAGGTTACATCGCCTTGTCTATCTCTTACCGTCTAGGTGGTTTTCTCAAATCTCTCTTCTAGTTCACAAATTTTTTTTTCTTCTGGTTTTAGTCTGCTGTTTAGTCATTCTATAATTCTTATATTTAAAGCCAGTTTGTATCTAAATAAATTTATAATAAATAAAGATAATATACAAATATAAAAATAAATTGCTTTCTGTTGATTCTTACTCAAGGCAGTTGATTTTCACAGGTTTGGTAATGTTTGATTATGAACTCATATTTGAGAAATTGAATCTGTGAAATCCTAGAGGACTAAATTACAGATGGTTTCCTCCGGAGGATTTGTTTTTGTTTTTCTTCGAACCTATGCTGGAACCACTAGCACCATTTGGGTGTCTTGGCTTAACATGAGAGTCTCTCAGAAACAGTTACCCCACCTGGGTTGGTCCTAAGAGTTAGTTTCCAGATCCGAACACTAGTGTGGACATTTGCTCTCAGCATGATCCCAAATTTTCTATTTGCATGGTGTTCACATTTCAGCTGATCATTTCTTTTTTTTTTTTCTTTTTTCATTCTCACCGGAGGACATATTTGCATTTATCTTCAGCTAGAGTGAGGAGGAGAGAAAGAGAAACATCAATGTGAGAGAGACACATCAAATGGTTGCCATGCACATGACCCCAACCGGGGCTGGGGACAAACTGCAACCGTGGTACGTGCCCTTAGCAGGAACTGCACCTGGGACTCTCTGGTCTACAGGCCGACTCTCTAACCACTGAGCCAAATCGGCCAGGGCAGCTGGTCATTTCTTTATTTTTGTTTTATTTTATGTTGAATCTTGTTTCCTTTAGTCAGCAATGCCTAACTTTGTATGTTGGTTACATTGCTGGTGGGTGTTTAAATTAGTGCAAACCCTAAGGGGTATAATTTGGTGTATCTGTTCAAATTAGAAATGTAGTACTAGTTGATCTAACAATTTCATTTTTAGGAATTTAATTCGATAAATATACTATTAAAAATGTGAAATGACAAAAGTTTTCCACTGTGGTATTGTTGTAATAGCCAAAGGTTGAAAACAAGTGAATGTTCATCAGTAGGTCAAACAGACAAGCAAAAGCAAACTGGTGTGTATAGTATTCAAGCATTCATGTGTGAAGGAGGTTTGAAAGAACATGAATTAGGATTAACTTGTCTATGCATTCAAAAAATCTTTGGAAGAACAGAGAAGAAATTTAACAGTTGTGAAATGTTGGGTGGAACTGGATGGATAGGTATAGATAGATATAAATGGGAGGTTTGTCAGTATAACCTCTTTTTAACTTCTAAATGTCTGAACTGTGACTATTATTTTTCAATTAAATTCATAAAAAAAATTTTTCATGCCCCTATTAAAAAAATATTGTGCTTAATGAGTATGTTTGTTGTAAGGTATCTAGATCTAATTACTCTGTAGTAGAAAATCCCTTTATAGTACCTAGTCCATGATATTGCCACAGATGAAAGTATATATATGGCTGCTTTACTTTGTAGGTGAAGAAGACAAAGATAATACTGCTACCACTGGTCTGTTGTACAGTGAAGCTGACAGATGTCCAATATGTCTTAATTGCCTATTAGAGAAGGAAATTGGTTTTCCAGAAGGTTGTAATCATGTCTTCTGTATGACTTGTATTCTTAAATGGGCAGAGGTGAGTTTTAAATATACGTATTAAATATTATTGTATTTTAGTTTCCTATCATTATTTCATTCCGCCTAGTCTAAAGAGTTGACACTGCCTTTCACAAATTATTTCACAGTAATATGTGTTCTCCTTACTTTGGAAAAATTTCCCTGTATTATTCTAATTCTGTCAGTATATTTTCTTGTATTCAGCTTTTTGTTCTTTTATTTAAAAATCTAAACACATAGCTTAAAAAAAAAGTTAATAACTTTATAGACATAATAGATGAAGTATTTTTTTCTGGTTGAAATATAGTTATTCATCTTCAGTGTACTTGACCTTCTTGAGATACCTGTGCCTTACTAATAATCACACCTTCCGTCTGCTTTGTGTTTCATATTTTTCAGAGAATTTTTACATAGATTTGTTTTTTGGTTTATTTTTTTTTTGTATCATCCTTGTGGGATAACCAGAGCAGATGTAGTAGTGTCCTCCTTCCATTTTACAGATGAGGAAATTTGGATTTTTTGCATTCTCTAACTTGGCCTAGGTTTCATAGCTTAAAAGGCAGAAATGAATTTAGAACTGCACTTTATAATTTAGTGTGAACTAATGTCAGAGTCTGAGTTAGAGATATTACTGAATTTCTTCATAGATTGTAAAGGATTTAAAAACAGGACATTTCAGACCTTAATGTATTTATTACATTGACTCAGTTTGGGCCTACTTAAGTAGATCATTGTAGGTCATGGTACTGGTATATTGAATATTCATTATAAGGCCCATTGTTATGGGTTGTGAAATAAAAATTGTCATACTAGTCATGCTATATGATCAGAATTAGTAATTTGTCAGTGTGTGAAAATACTAGTAAAGGAGGCAAATTTCAAAAGTATTTTAACAGTTATATTCAAATTGTTTGATGTCCCTAAGCACATTGGAATTAATCACTTATTACATAATTGGGGTTTTGGAATTCTATGATTTACTTATATTTTCATTAATAGTGTAGAAAGGAGAACATAACTGTACACTGACTATGGCTGAGGTTTGGGAGAAGGAAAAAAATATTTGTACCAATTGAATTCATAATAGCATACTTGGAAACAGTTCTATGTTGATTAAACCTAGACGGGCCTTTGGCAGAAAGGGACTAAAGATAGGTGAAATGTATTTTGGGAAAAAGTGTTTTGAGTTTAATTTTTAAATAGAATTATAAACCTCTGTGTTTACAGGAGCATTGACTAATGAAGTAAGAATGCTTATTTTTCTCTGCCACTCAACTAAAGATTTCATCTGTGATGAATTTAGTGCATCTTGGTTTGCTTTGTGATTAAATATTTTTAAAACAGATTTTGCTTCCAGTGGAGAAGCAGCAGTATTACTGGATGGGTGCAAGGCTCCTCCAGTTCATTGCTTTTCATAAAATTGTATTCAGTGGTTACATAATTGTGAGGTTCAACAACATAATCTATGTATGTGTTTTTCTCTATGAAAATTATAATTTATAAAATAGATAACAATTCTTCTTTCTTCCTTACATTCTACATGCATCTTTCACAAAACCATAAGCTTTATTATGGTGTGCATGTTCTAGGTTCGCTAGGATATGTATCTAGAATTGGAACTACTAAGCTGTATATTATGTACATATTTAGCCCTACCAGACACTGCTAAACTTAGCTATGTTTTTAACTCCTGAATATTTTTAAGTTGAAAATGATCACTAATACATAGTGTTGCAATTGACACCTTTCTTACATGTAATATTTTCTTTTGTGTTACTCCTTTGGATATAGATGTTTTGAAGCCAAACTGCTTTTAAAAGACAGTGCTTAAGCCCTGGCCAGTTTGGCTCAGCGGTTAGAGCGTCGGCCTGCGGTCCGGAGAGACCCGGGTTCGGTTCCCGCTAAGGGCACGTACTTCGGTTGCAGTTTGTCCCCGGCCCTGGTTGGTCGTGCGGGTGGCAGCCACTCGATGTGTCCCTTCACGTCGATGTTTCTCTCTCTCTCCCTTCCTCTCTCTCCCTCCCACTCTATCTGTACAAAAAATGGAAAAATATCCTCGGGTGAGGATAAAAAAAAAAAAAAAAAAAAAAAAGACAGTGCTTAATCTGCTGTATTATCCTAAATTGTGATGGGGTTGGGTGGGGGTGTTGTGGTATTATTTAAACCAAAGTAATTAACCATGAAAGTGGAGCATAAACAATATTTCTGAATTGTTTTATTGTCTCTAATAGGTATAGCAGCCATCAAATCAGTTAAGCCATTAAATAAAGCAGTAAGAAGAGCACAATCTACTAATAAATTGATCATTACATACAATAAATGAATACTGATTAACAAAATCACTTAGTCTTTGAACTAAAACTTTAGTTTGAATCTTTTATTGGTATGATAAAAATTAGATGTGTTTTGAAGCATGTATATATGCTTTGACAAATAGAATCAGATTGTATTTACTTTTTTTGTTAATCCTCACCTGAGGATATTTTTCTATTGATTTTTAGATAGAATGGAAGGAAGGGAGTGAAAGAAACATCAATGTGAGAGAGACACATCGATTGGTTGCCTCCTGCACGACCCTGACCAGGGCTGGGGATTGAACCTACAACCCAGGTAGTGTCCTTAATCGGAAATCAAACCAGAAACCCTTTGGTCCGTGGGCCAATGCTCTTAACCACTGAGCAAAGTTGTCCAGGGCTTCACTAGTTGTTTTTTTCTCGTGGCTTTTAAGTATTAAGCTCTTCCCTCTCATTTTCCTCAAACCACTCCTGTTTTTAAAGAGGAGGCATGCAGTTTACTTTGGATTTCAGGATTGGGAAATAAATGTCTATATTTAGAGCCTCCTAATTGGCCAGGACCTATGCTAAGGCTTTCTTATAGATTTTTTTCATTTAAATCACTCTGTCATCAAGCAGGGGTGGCTCAGTTGGTTGAGCGTTGTCCCATTTCCATGCACCAGGAGATTGCCGTTTCGATTTCCGTCAGGGCACATGCCTGGGTTGTAGACTCGATCTTCAGTAGGGGGCATGCAGGATGCAGCCAGTGGATTTTTTTCTCTCATCGATGTTTCTATATCTCTCTCCCTCTCCCTTCCTGTCTCTGAAATAAATAAAAACATTTAAAATAAATAAATAAATCACTGTGTCAGTGTTTATTTGATACTAAAGGATGGGATTCTGAATACTGAATTGTTTCTAAATACCTCAAGGAATAGCCTAAAATTAAAATAATTTAAAAATATTGAGTCATAGTTTAAAATTTTACTAATGTTCACTTCTAGTAGGAAGGTAGAAATCAAAGTGAGATTTACAGCAGTTGGAAATATACATAGTAAGAAAATAGCACAAAATGTATTCAGGATCATCTTCCTAGTCTTGTATGTCTTTCAGAGAAATTCAGCTGAGTTATCTGAAAATTTGTATATAAGGTTCACTGAAATATGATTCAGAATGGATATCGAGAACCAAAAAGAAGGACTCATTTATTTATCTTCACCTTAACATTTTAGGCATTGAAGAATTCTGCTCTGTAAGGAACAAGTAAAGTTAAGGTATATAATAACCTAGTATATTTGGACACATTTCTGAACTTTCTTGTACTTTTCAGGTATCTATATCCAAAGTCAAAGTTCCAGCTCTAAAATTTTGGTTCCTTGGTTATTTAAAACAAAAGCCGTATAAGGACTTGAAAGTGATTAAGTAACTGAAATTAGTCTTTAGGTAGTATTTCATAGAATCCACTTTACCTAGGTCAAAAAGATCCAGGATAATGGAACCTGTGGTGGCCTAAATGGCCCATAGCCTAATTGCCTTGCCCTTGAGGACAGGTTAAGCATGTCCACTATAACTAGTTTCAAGGAACTCATAATAGGTAAGTAAGCTTATTGGTTTATAAAAGTGTAGAAGTGGAATATTGAACTAAAGTAAACAAAGACAAGTAATTGACACTTATGGAAAGTTGAAATATTTGTTAAAGCATCAATATTAGAGCTGAGAATCTGAAATTAAACAAAAGAAAGCCTTTAAACTGATGAAATATGTGTAGAGCCAATACACTAAAGTTTATCTGCCACTCAGAAAGTTGTTTATTTTACCCATACTGTGAGCCAAAACACAGTCTAAACATACTGAGAGTTTTTAACTTTCATACGGTTTAACTTTGGTCATCTGAATTTGCATTTTTAGGTACAGTCATGCACTGCATAATGACATTTCTATCCACTACAGACCGTGTATACCACAGTGGTCCCATAAGATTATAATGGAGCTAAAAAACTCTATCGCCTTGAAGTCATAGCCATCATAGTGTCATAGAACCATGCATTACTCCATGTTTGTGGTGATGCTCGTGGAAACAAACCCACTGCACTGCCAGTTATATAAAAGGATGGCACATACTATTATGTACATAATAATCACTATAAAATGAATGACTGTGTTACTGGTTTATGATTGTGCTATATGTGCTCTACTTTTTATTGTTATTTTAGAATGTACTTTTTCTACCTATTAAAAACTTGCTATAAAACAGTATGCTGTGTTAATCTGGCAGCAATCTCATACTTCTTGTGAGTACCATATCTCTTGAGTGCATCATTTTCTCTTGTGCTTGATTTAGTCTCTGTTGTTTTTTATAGTAACATGCTGTTCAGGCTTATAGCCTAAGAAGCAGTAGGCTATACCATGTAGTGTAGGTATGTGTAAGTGCACTCTATGATGTTCGCACAACAACGTAGTCTCCTACTGATGCAATCACATAATGACACACTTTTCAGAACATGTCCTCGTTCATTGTTAAACAGCCCATAACTATTAATAATTAGAAAGGCAAAGTCTGACACGTGGCTGTAGTAGTGACAACTAATCACAATTATGATCCCCTATAGACAAGAAAATACCCCCTTCATGCACACACACTGGTTAAGAAAATAGGATTTATGATTTGGCAGGTTGCCAAGAAGTTAAAATTTTGGTCTTTAAAAGGTTAAAGTTTGAGAACTTGGAAACTTTTCATCCTCAAAGT